GTATATGTTTTCTATTCTATTTAAGTTTAGTTGATCGTATTCAATCGAATCACCTCGTGTCAATCTATAACTTTCATGGAAATGAAGGTTGGTCAAATGACTTCTTTACACACACATAAGTGTACATTCATGTCTTTATTGTGGTCAAAAGCATGTTAACAGAGTAACAGTTTTACAGTGACCTGGTTCAATCAGACATATGTAACATCTCAGTTGCTAAACACAAGTTATGCGAGATGCACAAACTGAGGGAAAAGTAGCAGAACATGTTATATCATTCCATTTCTGACGATAGTTGGTGTGGACACAGTGTTCAAGTCCTCCATAGTTGTCTGGCTGTCCTGCTGACCAAAATACAAACTTGGCAGCACACCCATCAGACCACATCCAGCTTCCTTCTTGGTGGCCGTCACTGAGTCCGATCCATGTGTATCCCTCAGTAGGGTCAAAGTTCTTGATCAGTGATCTGACAAACTCATGTTCTTCCTGACTGTGGATAGACACCAGGTTGGCTCCCTCTGACACACATTGGAGCTCTGCTGCAGCCCAGGTAGAATGTGTGGCGATGAACTTGTAGCAGCGGCTGTTGAAGGAGTACCAGAACATGGGACAGCGCCTGCCACGTTGAAGCTTCCCTTGAGGGTCATCTGAAGGAGACACAGCACCCAGAGCCAGGCCCAACAGCAAGAGAAAAACCAGCATGATGATGTCACCGTCTCTGTCTGGTAAAGTTGAGATAGGATGGAGATTCTGTGACAAGTGACAGGCTGCTTCCTTTTATATGCATCAGAGAGAGGTGTTTTCACTGTTGGCCCAATATTATTGGTCACTGAATTTGGCAAACACTTTCTGTTGTGACTCATATGTTTGTTTGATGCCCAAAAGCAAATAAGAAACATAAAAAGGTACTTTTATATTCCAGCATTGCAGTTCTCAAAAAGCACTTGCCCATTTCTGAACCTCTAAACGTGGCACTTATGTACCCTTAAAAAATACATTTAATGAATGAAAAGATGCTCTAAAATGGTATCTCTTTGCTGTCCTTTTGATTCATTATGATCTAAGCTTAGGAGTTGAAATAAGGATGAATAAATTTGCAGTATAAATATGTGTGTGTATGTTTGTCTATGGTTGTGTAATGTCGGGTATTCCAGAAAGAAAAAGTCCCATCCGCAATTATTTACTGTGCAAAGTACAATCACAAAACATTGGTAAAGTTCAATTTGCAAACACTTTAAGTTTCACACAACTACACAGAATATGAACATTACCCAAAAAAGACCACAAGCTCACCTGGAGATGTCACATAAAACCTATGATTTATTCATTTCAGTCAAATGTTGAAGTAGTAAAACACTGCTTTAGAAAAGACATGTGGCTTCAGCTGTCAGAAGGTTGCTGGGACACAAGGAGAGACATATTGCTTTCTATCTGACTTTTCTTCTCATTTACAACTGAAAACTACATACCAAACATGGGCATATATTTACACATAAACAATATTACAGTAGTACAAAGCCTTCAATGTGTCCTTTCTTGAATTGTGAACTTTTTTATTTTAACATGCAAACAAGTTTTAAACAACATTGCTTTAAAAAAAGAATTACTTCACAGAATGGCCATTAAAACACTAAATACACCTTCCTGTTGGTTTCCTGTCCATTACAGCACCAGAGGAGAGAGGTGCGTGATCACAAAACACAACAGGTACATTCGAGCATTCAAACCTTAAACATCTTTCCTTCTCCTAATGCTCTTGTACTTTGCTGAACCTCTGGCACCTGAACGTTTGTCACCTCAAAAATACATAAAACAATAAATAGGTAATATAACAGTATTTCTGCTCTATGAACACAAAGAACAGAGGAGTGTTTGTGCATGTGTGCGTCATGTACAGGTTTTTAGTATAAAATGACTACCACAAGGCCTCTCTATGACACGGAATATGAACAGACCACGGCTCTGATTTATTAGATCTAGCTGTCACAGAATCACTGACTTCACAAAATGCATCTTTCAAATGAGACTTTGTAACTTTTTTTAAGAGAAGTAAAACACATTGTTGGTCTTATAAATAAAACGCTTAATAACTAATTGTCCAATTAAACAGTCCGGGTATTGTTGCTGCTAAAGCCTCATTGTGGCTATTGTTGAAAAACTTTACGTCACTAAATATATATAACGGACAGTCAGTTTGCTGACTCATGACTCTTCCACATGTGCCACTGTTACAGAGGTTAGTCTTTAGCTAAATGCTAAACTGATTAACAACAGCTTAGCAACTAGCATCATCCCATACCTGCCTGAAGAAAGTTTCTGCAGCAAGAGCTACATAGTCTCACTTTAAAGGGGAAATCCACTCTCAGAATTTATGAATATTATTCTAATAATCTTGAATAGTTTGAGTAGATGTGTGGATATGAACAACTCCTGGAGAGGATCGATCTCAAGACTCAACACACACAACAGGCTAAGAGTCGTCAAACGAGTCTTTGCACAGAAAATGACTAAGCTGCTCAAAACACACACATTATATTTAGTGAGTCTTTACTTTAATCATCTCTGATTTTTTTGAACCAAAGATGTTTTTGGCACTGAAACAGTTGGAAATCCCAGTCCACCGGTTAATTATGATCTGGAGGAGACACGCCCCTGTGCTCTGAAAGGCTTGGTGTTGAAATGATGATTAACACTAGTGGCAACAACATTTCTACTTCTACTATTGCACGTTACCACCCGTGTTTCAAAAGTATCCAAACAATGCGATACATGCATCGCTAACATAACATTTAGGAATCTCGCCTTTGGATGTTTTCTCCTACTCAGCAGAAATGTAGCACTGATGTGACAGGCTAAGCGTTTTACAGACACAGGGCAGGGACCAAATAAACACAAACACTTATTTATAGTTTGCCAGATGATTGTACGAGTCATTGTAACTCATTTATCATTTCTAAATGATTCCCCTCATGCTGCTCCTCATTTCTTTTCAGGATAGTCCCTGTCTTGCACAAGTCGGGGCAATGTAAACAGGAATATATTTTTAGGATCTGTTGGTTCAGAGAAGATACATTTTCAGTCCATACTAGTTAGAGGTTGCAAGGCAAAAATAAAGCTGTAAAACTCCTACCAGGCAGATTTACTAAATCACACTTGTGCCTCCTTTATTCTTTCCACACCCTGTGTTTTCAGAGTTTACACAAGACTTCTGAATAATGTGGACATTTCAGTCAGTAAGAACAAAAAGTCAAAATCTCCTCATGTTAGCTTATCGCTTGACATAATTTAACATAAGGCTTTACAAAGAGAAACATATAGTAGGGCTGTTTGTCCTAATCCAAAACCACCACACAGACCCTGAAATCAGTCGTCATAATGTCAAAAATCATCCAAGCAAACATGTGGTCTGCTTTACATGATCACAGACCAATCGTTTGGGGGCTTAGTTAAGGAAATGACACTGTGGTGAAAACAAAAAAGACACTGATAATAGTGACCATAATAAACCAGGAACTCTGTGCTGCAGGACTTGATGTGACATTTGGCACTGAAAAAAAGTCTATAGGTCCATATGAAATACAATCTAAAATGATATGATCACACAACAACATCATAGAGAAGAGGGCATGAGGAGCAGTTGGCTTAAAGTCAACCAGGACTTTAAAATGAAAACAAGGAGAACCAAAAATATCAAGATTTCACCAACAGTTTTTGAAGTCGGGCACGTTCATGAGAGCTTCAGTGGTTCCAACGTCACAGGCAGTCCCAAAGAAACCTTTTCTCCACATGCCAGACACTGTTCACTCACTGAGGCTGCTCGTGTTTTGTTAAAAGCCAGAGCCTTAGTGTAAAACAGGTAGAAGATGTTCTGTAGGTTTGTTTTAGTGTTTTACTCCTGCTTGTGTTACATAATATCCACACAATAGCAAAAATAAATATGCTCCACATCATACACCTAACACTAAGGCAAGTATCCTGGATATACGTGCATCACCAGGCATGGTATGCGATATGAGGATGAAATATGAGACCATTAAGGTGGTAGATTGTGGCTAAAAGATTATAAACTTATCTTCATGATTGGCTTTGTGTTTGTGACTGATGAAGAGGCCGTCAAGTCCTTGATGACCTCCAGGGGGTGGACGCGACTTCAAAGACAGACATGAAGGAACATTCCACCTGCTAAACAGGCTCATAAATAACCAAAAGCTCACCACTAAAACATATTCAGTCCAATAGATACTGTACAAACTACTTACAGCGTCCTCTTCTCTCTCTGTCAGTTTGGCAAGTATCCAAAGTTCAGAGTGTTTACAACTTAAATCCTTTATAAACACATTTCACTATGTTATAAAGCCGTTTAAGAACAGTGCAGCTCTGTGTCTTCATAGGTTGGTTTTTTTAGAACATGTGGCACCTTATTGTCCACTTGGCACCACTGCTGGTAGTCTGAACTCGTTGCAGTGTATGCCTGAGTGTTTGGCATTTTGCTGTACAAAGCGTCTTCCAAGCCACACGTTCCCGGTGCTAGCATTCCACCTCGCTGTGTCCGGTGTGTTGTGTTGGTGTCTTTGAAGCTACGTGCGTTTTTTGTGTCTTTAAGCACGCGGCTCTAGCTTGTGGGACAGCTCGAAAAGCGTCTGTTGATTGTCGATAATGTGCAGGTAGTGAACGCTCGCCCTCACATCCGCACTGTCGACCCCGATAACCTCGTTGCCTAAGAGACACACAAAACACGCACATTCGTCACAATGAAAAGCTTTCTCTCTCTGCTGAAAGAACACACATTTGGTACAAACACAGACTGCATTATGGCCGTATGAAGAGAGAAAAGGACTGTCTGGGAATGGTTGCTTAGAAACTGCATAGGTTGCAGCACACTAACCCAGCTGCAGGTGGCAGTCGATACCTCCCAAAGAAAGGGATCTAAGCATCAATATTTCATCCAGAGTTAACAGAAGGGGGAGACAATGAGCCTGGAGAGCCTGTCTCACAAGTTGTTATGTTAGGATCCTTGAACAAACAGAATTCAAAAACACACTCACCTGGCTGGTCGCTTTGGCAGTGCCGAATCATTCTCACTGTGTCTGCGATCATGTGCTGTTGGTTCAGGAGAGAAACAGGTTTGCATCAGTACAAAACCCCCCAGTCATGGTCTAATATTTCAGGGTAGGGCTTTACTGCCTGACAGCACCAACATTAACATTTCAGCAGTTTTTATTCAAAATGAGACGAACGTGCTTCAGCTATTGAATCATGACCTTATTTTCTTTTAAGTGTTAGAGGGGAAGTAAATAGTTTAAAAATAAATATTCCATGTTGACAAAGATGCATTTTAAAGCAAAGCAACACTATTACATTCCCTCTGCAGCGTGGTTGTCTATCAAGACAGATAACACAGAGGTACTTGGGCAGGTGACTGACTACCAACGACACTTAACAGGGCCACCCTGAACTCGATTATATCAAATAATGCCAGCTTGTGGTTATCAAACGAGCTCCAGCCTGTGTTTGACGTTTGTTTCCTGATTGTGACTGCCTGGGGAAATGTGCATGTTAGTTCCCTGCCATCCTTGAGTATGATGGGTGAATTACCATGGATGTGTTCAATCAATCACCCGTTGATGCATTTCATCTCGTTATGAATGCAGTTACTGGAGGAGAATTTGAAAACTCACCTGTCTTACAGTATATGTGCCATTTGCTGTTTGTGACGCATTAAGATTCAGAAAACTGACTCAACTCACCAGCTTCTCAAAGTTGACCAGGTTGTCATGGAAAGTCTTATTTCCCTCGTGGATAAATGTGATATCTAAGAGCAGAGGAGGTGAATCATTATTATTAGAGAGTGTGTGTGTGTGTGTGTGTGTGTGTGTGTGTGTGTGTGTGTGTGTGTGTGTGTGTGTGTGTGTGTGTGTGTGTGTGTGTGTGGAGAGGTTAGAGATGATACCTTTCAGGAGAAGAGGCATGAAAGGGATTTTGGGAGGCTTCATCTTCTTGAAGGCTTCTCTGTAGGCTTTGTGGTTCAGAGATGGGTCCTAAAGAAAGGATTGGAAGAGGAGAATTAAACATTTGAAAACAGTCAAATGCTATTATATTTCCAGCTCTGCATCTAGCTCCATCTATGTTGAGTAAGGCTCACCGTGATGAGCTCCAACTCTGAGAAAATCTTCTTGAACTTCCCTGGACATTTCTAAAAAGGAAGATTTTTGGTCATTGGTTTTGATTTAAAATACAATACCATGTATGGATGAATAAAAAAAAGTAAAAAACACACCTCCCAGGTTTGGTTGAGTCGACTGACAGCTGCTGTGTTAAGTCCCATAATGATGGCAAATGCAGAGTTCAAATTTCTTTGGGCTTTACAACTACAAATACACAAAACATATCAAAATGATTAACATCATAGAGCGTTGAAATCTTGATGTTGTCGATAAATCCACTTTTATTTATGTATATTTCTGAGAGTGTGTTTGTGTCCGTTCTTACTGAGCTGCGATCTTGATGAACTTCTTGAGCAGCTGTACTCTCTTGTTGAGCGATGCACACATGAGCACCTCGGACATGACCCACTGCTGAACCTCGTTGCAGCGCTGCAGCAGGACGGAGAGCGCCGCCGTGTGGCCGGTACCGGGCACACGGCTCAGGGTGTAGTACGCCAGCTCCTGCTGCAAGTGGAAAGAGGAAACTTGTGAGTGAAAGTCCTCAAGCATTTTAGAAAAATGCTCTAAAATATGTGGTCCAATTTTCAGACTCCACGGTGACATATTGTTTTTTTTCAAGCAAATGCTCATTAACTAATTGAAATGGTGTGCCTGAGGATACAGTATCATCTACAGAGCAGTGTGTATTTCAACTTTTTCCAAACAAAAACATTCAGCACGTCCAGACAGCGAAAGAACACTATGTTCTCATGACCCAGCAAGCCTTGAGCATTTGCATCTTTAATGCTTACCGGTATGTTCAAGCAATCTTTGCAATGAGTATGAATTTATTATGGGCGATGTGCACACACCGCTTGCGTATGTATGTATGTATGTATGTATGTATGTATGTATGTATGTATGTATGTATGTATGTATGTATGTATGTATGTATGTATGTATGTATGTATGTATGTATGTATGTATGTGTGTCTATACCTCATGGATGGATTTGAACAGGCTCCAGTCCAGGTGTGTGAGAGCAGCTGCCACATCCCAGGTGTTAATACCTAAGAGTCGCACCGTCCTCCTGCTTAGCTCAGCACTGTCCGTTAAGGGAGGCTGCACACCACACACAAATAAAAAGTTAGGACAAGGTATGCACAAAACAACACTCCATACACACAGGTGTTGTCTATTCACAGGCAACTCTGAAAACAACAGGCTCAATAAGATAACATGCCTACTGTTACGACAGATAGTTAATAGGTATTTATCTAATGGCTTGTTGATTACAGATTGTTAAATATATCTTTCCTTAAGAAATAAATATCCAATAAACTGCAGTTTCTGAAAAGCCAAATATTGCAAAAACTGATTCAAAGCATTCACAACTGAAGCTCCACTGTGAAAAAACGCCATTATAGAAGTACACTTTGCCCTAATAGAGAACTTTCCAATACTGCCGTCACGGTTGGCAACACCAATATTCTCCTTTTCTCTCCTATTGAGTCAGAGTGAATACAATTCACCTGGCCTAAGAGTTTCGCTTGCTTAAAATTCATGACTCGTTGTAACACTGTGAACAATTTTATGTTTGGGATTAAAAATAAACAATTTCATGCTGGATTTAGCGAGAAGATGATACAGAGGCTAAAAATAATATCAAATGCAGTAAAATGACAAATAATTATATATTGAGAGGTTAGCTTTAAACCTACAAGCTGCATCTTTTAGCCTCTATGAATGTTTGTGAAAATATGGAAAGATGGCTGGTTACAGAATGACAGAAAGAAAAAGTAGGACAGAGATTTTACATACCATAATCTCATTGAGATCCCTGCGACAGACCACCAGCTTTCCCTGTGGGGTCAGAGACTCTGAATACACACAGTCACTGGGCTGTAACACCCTCCGCTCTGCAGAGACAAAGCAACAAGGGACGATTATAACCATTCAGAGCCAAGAGGGTCGCAAATCATGCAGTTGCTAAGGGACAAGCTAAATCTATTTTTAAAAAGCAAAGAAAATGGATAATTGATTAAAATAGAAAGATAAAAGTAGAACATTGGATGGCCTAAATTAATTAATGAACAATTGAAGTTGAAATGTTAACTAAAAGTAAATAAACAGATGGAGTAGGTCACATTATCTGATGGAAGCTATTAAACGGTTAAAATAGTTAACAGTAGCGGATTAACAATCTATAGTTAATGTTTCCTAAAAGTAATAGTTCATGATTATTGAAAGCAAATTAACGAATTTTTAAATAAATAAACAAACAAACAGTTCAAATAGTTAGAGTATTGGATGAATGTTTAGTATAAATATCTAAAATAATGTAAATATTGTTTGCTGCAGGTGATAGTTCTATGGTTATAAAATAATCAAAGATCAATTTTCTGACAAACTTAACATGGTCTGTCTGTCTGTCTGTCTGTCTGTCTGTCTGTCTGTCTGTCTGTCTGTGTGTGTGTGTGTGTGTGTGTGTACCTCCAGTGTGCAATGCCACAGCAAGC